TTTTTGTTTGGGGAAATATGGTAACCCTACCGATGGTGCCGCCGATACTCACCACCCCCAAGGTCACTCTCTTGTTGGGGACGCCCACGACATACTCTGCGAAGGAAACACAAGAGTCCCCGCGACCCCGCGGGCAGAGGGTGCTGAACCGCTGGCACAGTGTGCCCGTCCCAAAGCCGCCCCCCCCCCCAGACCCCAGTGAGGGACCTGAAGGGGACAGGCAGGGGGCAGAGGGCACAGGAACAGGTGCTGCCCCTCTCTGGGAAGGGCTGCACTGTCTGGCTCTGCCAGACCCTGTAACCTGTGTGGCTCGGGCTCTGCCAGGCTCTGGGGGCATCGCACAGACGGTGCCTGCCTGGACAGCCCTTGCCTATGCAGCGACCAGGGCAGCAGGCAGCCAGGTGCATGGGGTGCTCTAGGCAAGGCTGGGGAGCCCCCAGCCCTTGGGGAGGAGGGTAGAATCGGATCCAGCCCCAGGACTGGAGGACTGTGCCCAGCTGGAAGGGAGAAGCAGGTGGGCAGGTCTGGCAGGCAGGGACTCTGGGGCAGGGAAGCCTGGTGGGCAGAGGACTTGGGTGTGGGGGAGCCCAGTGGGCATGGGCTCCCTGGCTGCAAGCCATTTCTGAGGGCAGAGGCCCTGTTTGCCCGGGGGTGGCAGCTGGCGAGGAGCCCCTCACCCTCCCTGCTCCCAGCCCTGTGCCCCGGGGGCAGGCAGGGGTGGGGAGGTCACCATGGGCGTGGCCAGGGTGGGCGAGCCAAGTCTGCTCCTTTTGCTGCCCATTGAGCCCGGTTGGCAGCCCCAGAGTGCTGTGCACCTTCAGGGGGCACCACACAAGCCAAGGGCAAATCCCCTACCTGGCGTGGCGGGGTCCCCGTCGAACTCCCCCACGGCCACTGAGTACCCTGCAGAGAGAGGGAGCAGGGTTAACCCTTTGAACGCCCCTGCCCGCTGCACGTGCCCAGGGCAGAACAACCGGCACCCAGGGGAAGGAGATGCCAGTGGTTAGAGCGGGGGGGAGGAGGAGGCAGGGAGCCAGGACTCCTGGGTTCTCACCCCGGCTCTGGAGGGGAGTGGGGTCTAGTGGGGTAGAGAAGGGGTGGGGGCTGGGAGCCAGGACTTCTGGGTTCTCTCCCCAGCTCTGGAGGGAAGTGGGGTCTGGTGGTTAGAGTGGGGGCAGTGTGGACTTGAATACTGTGTACAGATGTGGTCTCCTCATCTCAAAAAAGATATACTGGCACTAGAAAAGGGCAACTAAAATGATTAGGGGTTTGGAATTGGTCCCATATGAGGAGAGATTAAAGAGGCTAGGAATTTTCAGCTTGGAAAAGAGGAGACTAAGGGGGGATATGATAGAGGTATATAAAATCATGAGTGATGTGGAGAAAGTGGATAAGGAAAAGTTATTTACTTATTCCCATAATACAAGAACTAGGGGTCACCAAATGAAATGAATGGGCAGCAGGTTTAAAACAAATGAAGGGAAGTTCTTCTTCACACAGCGCACAGTCAACCTGTGGAACTCCTTTCCTGAGGAGGTTGTGAAGGCTAGGTGTATAACAGAGTTTAAAAGAGAACTGGATACATTCATGGAGGTTAGGTCCATTAATGGCTATTAGCCAAGATGGGTAAGGAACGGTGTCCCTGGACTCTGTTTGTCAGAGGGTGGAGATGGTTGGCAGGAGAGAGATCACTTGATGATTCCCTGTTCTGTTCATTCCCTCTGGGGCACCTGGCACTGGCCACTGTCGGTAGATGGGATACTGGGCTACATGGACCTTTGGTCTGACCCAGTCTGGCCGTTCTTATGACTCTGCCAGTGCCCTGCTGGCACCGGGGACAGCCATCTCTCCCGTGCCCAGCCACGAGGTGGGCAGGTTGCTGGGGGAGGCTGCACTCACCTCTGTAGGCGCCCTCATAATCTCCGTACATGTTCTCCGTGACCTGCTCCGGGAACACGGACCAGAGCAGGGCGCTGCTGGGGACTTGGGACACGACTGCCGACAGATTGACCGAGTAGATCAGCCCTGGGGGAACATCCAGGGCCGCCCGTGAGTCAGTGCCGGGGGCCCTGCTCGGAACAGGCAGGGGCTAGGCATGGTGAGAGAGGGAGGGTGCCCCTGCCCAACATGGCCATCCTGCACCCCCACCCCACAGTACCCCCTTCGCCAGCCTCACGCACTAGCTCCTGGGGGTCCCCACAAGGGGGCAGTGCCATGGGCAGCTCCCTGCCTGAGAGGGATGCTCCATGCTACAGACCCGGGGGGGCAGCCTCTGCCAGCCACAATGGGACACCACGGACAGGTTGGGCCTGGGGCTGTGGATCAGCCCCCTGGCCCCTGGGCACAGGCAGGCGCGGTGCCCCCAGCACAGCTGAGGGGGGGAGCCCTGGGGTGCATTCATGGCTCCACTGGAAGTGTCGTAGGCAATGGCAGCCATGCCAAGGGGCACTGGACTCCCCCTCCCCCCACAGCCCCCAGAGCCCCCCAGAAACCAGAGCCCTTACCCGCAAAGTAGTATCCTCCCGGGGCACCCAGCACCAGCCTGCCAGCCTGCAAGGGAACAGGACAGGCCTGAGTGAGAGCCCTGCCCGGAGACATCCCCATGGGCACGCGCACACCCCCAGGCACACGCAGCCCCCCACGGGCGGGCACACACCCCCAGGCACACGCAGCCCCCACGGGCGGGCACACACCCCGGGCACATACAGCCCCCCCATGGGCACGCACACACCCCCAGGCACACGCAGCCCCCACGGGCACGCGCACACCCCGGGCACATACAGCCCCCCCATGGGCACGCACACACCCCCAGGCACACGCAGCCCCCACGGGCACGCGCACACCCCGGGCACATACA